GAGAGTATCTACAGAAAACCTAGAGCTAATGTCATACTTAAATGGTGAGAAACACCAAATTTTCCCACCAAGATCAGGTACAGGCAAGGATGTCCTCGCTCACCATTCCTTTTCAACATTATGCTGGAAGTTCTAGCTAACGCAATAAGACAAGAAAAGAAAATAAATGGTACACAGATTTGGAAGAAAAAAATAAAACTATATTTGTTCAAAAGTTTCCAGGTTGGGGACGCCTAGGTGGCTCAGTCAGTTAGGCATCGGCTCTTGATTTTGGCTCAGGTCATAATCTCAGGATCATGATATCAAGCCCCAAGTCAGTCTCTGCACTGGGCATGAAGCCTACTTAAGATTCTCTCTCCCCCCACTCAGATGCATGCTCTCTCAAAAAATAAACAAATAAATAAATTTTTCAAAATAAAAATAAAAAATAAAAGAGTTTCCAGGTTAGTGAACACATGGATGTGCTGGGAGAGGACACACTCTGAGAGGGCATTGAAGCTCTGTACCATTTCCCCATGCCTTGCCGTATGCATCTCTTCCTTTAGCTATTTCAAATTATATCCTTTTATAATAACCCAGTAATCTATTAAATAAAAAAAAAAGCTGCATTTGCTCATAGATGACATGATAGTCTATGTACAAAATTCTAAAGAATGAACAAAAGAACTCCTGGAACTAATAAGCGATTATACCAAGGTTGTAGGATACAAGGTTAATATATAAAAGTCAATTGCTTTCCTATATGCCAGCAATAAACAAGGGAAATTTGTTGAAGTTAAAAATATATCATTTACATTAACACCCATACAATGAAATACTTAGGTTCAAGCCTTACAAAATATTTCCAAGATCTATATGAAGTACACTACAAAACTCCAAAGAACAAAATCAAAGAACTAAATAAATGGACAGATATTCCGTGTTTACAGATAGTCAAGATGTCAGTTCTTTCCACCTTGATCTATAAATTCAATGTACTCTCAATCAAAACCCTAGCAAGTTATTTTGTGGATACTGACAAAATGATTCTACACTTTACACAGAGAGGCAAAAAACACAGAATAACCAACACAATATTGAAGAATGACGAAGTTGGAGGACTGACTACCCAATGTCAAGACTTACTTTAACGCTGTAATTCTTTTCAAGGAAATTGAAGCAGTAATCAAAAATCTCCCAACAAACAAAAGCCCAGGGCCAGATGGCTTCCCAGGGGAATTCTACCAAACATTTAAAGAAGAAT